GAGGCTGTGCAGCGCGGCCGGATCCAGGACTAGACGGCTGCTGCCACCTCGTGCACGGAGGGCTGCTCCCAGGAACACCCCCGTCCTCCTCAAATCCCCACAAAACATGAGCCCAAAAATCCCTGGAGGCAGACGGGACACCTCCCCCCCTCCCCAGGGCGAGGGCTGGATCCTGCCAGCAAGGAGAGAAACAGGCAACAACCAGCAAGTAAAACCAGAGCCCCCCAGTTTATTAGCAGTTGGTTCAACAGGACCTTACACCAGCGCCCAGGAGCTTCTCCCAGTGCAACCCCACGGAGGGGCAGAGGGGAGGTGCAGCCCCCCACGGCCCCACGCACAGCTACGGGGGCTCCTGCAAAAATAACCTGGTGGGAACCCAGCTGGGGGGGCCCCTCCATCACCCAGGGTGAAACACCGCGTTCCCCACCACCACTGCCCTGGCCCGGCTCTGGAGGCGAGGGCAGCATCCCGGGGACCGCGTCCACCTCCGGTGGCAACCGCTGCCATCCCGCACCCTGCAGCTGGAGCAGGGATGGAGCAGCTCCATCCGAGGGGAAATTCGGGCCCTCGTCCCGGTAAATCCATGACGGCTCAGTCTGGTTTGCCAGCCCCGGCAGCAAACCCCCGCAGACACGACGGGGTGCGGGAGAGGCAGAGCCGGGGCTGTGGCTCTGTACAGCACCACCAGTATAAAGACACATCTCCGTCTGGGAAACTGTCCCCCGTTTCCCCACTGACCTTCATCCACGTCACGTGTAACAACTAAAGAGACCACGTAAAACCCTCGGGGTTTAGGTACAAACTCTGGCACCAAAGAAAAACAACCCTCTGCAAAATGGGAACGAAACGAACCCACCCCCCACCCCCCACCATTATTAAAATACTTTTGTTTTTAATATTCAAGAGGTTCGAAGTTCTCAGAATCCTTCCAACTGCTGTTATCCTAACGTCCGCCCTGTCCCCGAGGGCCGGCTCTCCTCCGTGCCAGGGGATGCTGGGCGCCGCTCGGCTTTACCACAGGAAACACCACACGTGTACAAGATTGCAAGAGGGGGTTTGGGGGGGACGGGAGCGTGCCAGGGAGCACGCCGGGGCCAGCACGCCGGGGCCAGCACGTTGGTCCCTTCTCCTGCTCAGCTGCAGTCCCACCACACTGCCCACGGAGACGGAAGAAGAGGTTGAGAAGCTTGAAAATGAACGGAGATCACAAAAGAAATCGTGCCCAATGCTTTGCAAGAAAAATCCCCCTTGTTTGCAGCTTTTCCATTTAGGTGTTGGGGAAATTCGGCAAACTCCTGCTTTCTGCTGCAGGGCCGATGACAGGAGCGGGTCTGGGTCCCTCTGTGCCTTGGGTCTCCAACAGCTCCGTTCCTCTGCTCCAGCTCAGCAAAGTCACCTCCAGCGTGCCCAGAGCGGCTCCTCCACCCTCGGAGCAGGAGGTGAGGGATAGCTCTGCCACCACCCTCGGGCCCGGGGGAGTCAGGGCCCATTTTGGGCAGAGAAACAGGGAATTTGTGCCACTTCCCCATGTTGGAGCAGGGTGGGAAGGGACCTCACCGACAGGCTCAGGAATTAAAAAGGAAAAAACATAAAAATAAAATGAAAGAGAAACAGGTGTGGGGTAGGCGGAGCAGTGGCAGC